CATTATAAAAGAGAGCCTCTTCGTTGCAGAGAAATGGGGAAAAACATTCAAAAAGTCAAGCCATATCCAATTTGTTTCTTTCGCCCGAGGAAGATTCTATCCGACTCGAAACGCCATTGCCCAACATTTCATTTAACTATCATGATTAAGCTTCATTTGCACTCGTGTCTGCATTTGTTCTCGAAGCACTGGCTCCATGCTCGTGACCTCTGACCTATTTCCCTTGGCCCCCAGCACAAGGTCGACGCCGTCATCCACTTCGCGGCGCTGAAGGCTGTTGGCGAGAGCGTGAAGCGCCCCCTCGACTACTACCACAACAACATTACTGGAACGGCCACGCTCCTGCGGGTAAAGAGACAGTCTTCTGTTTTTGTTTTTTTTTCCTTCATCGATTTGTTGTCATTCTTTTGGTACTTTATTTATTATATTCGTTTTTCCTCCAGCCTATTTTTTGTCAACTTTTAGCTTTTTTCTGATTCTGTTTTCGTCTTTCTGTCTCTTTCATTTTTTCCTCGTAGACATTAATATTCTCAGATCTATATGTTACTATATGTTATCAATTATTGCTGGTATTTAACACCATTATTGCCATCTATTCATATCATTATGATTATCATTTTCAAGGCGGTCGTTATTATTGATATTTTGTCGTTTATGACAATAAGAGCTCTTAATATTCTGGTGAATAAAGGCAAGGGAAAAGAGAAAAAAAAGCGAAGATGCATTTAGTAAACAAAAGGAGAAGCTGGGATATTAATGGGAATCACTTTATGGAAATGGAGCAGAGACACCGTGTCTGTGGTCGGGTTCGCAAATACAGCGTTAAAGCCACTATCGCTACTACTTATTTTGGTTTTATCGTTATTCTCGTTATTTGATTTTATTCTTCAGAGACAACACTATGCTATCCACCAACAGGACACAGCCACCAGCAGGGCATCATCACTATCACCAGCTCACCACCGCCACCTGCTTTAATCATAATCACTATCACCAGCAAGTTCCCTGATCACCACCACCACCAACGCCACCCCCAGTTCACCTCCATCACCCAACTTTTTCCCAACGTCCAACAATCATATCCACCCGCTCGCCCTCCCACTCCACGCCCCTCCCACTCCGACAGGTCATGGGCGAGGTCGGCGTGAAGAGGCTCGTGTTCTCCTCGTCGTCCACCGTCTACGGCCCCGCCAAGTACTTCCCGACGGACGAGGAGCACCCGACGGGCCAGGGCGTGACCAACCCCTACGGCAGGAGCAAGTTCGTGTGCGAGGAAATGATGAAGGATTTGGCCAAGGCGGAGGAGGTGAGAGATGAAGGGGGGGGGGGCTGAGGGGAGGGAGGGAAAGGATGGGGGAGGGGAAGGGGGAGGATGGGGAAAGGTAGGGTGGTGGATGGGATGGGGAAGGATGGTGGAGGAACAAGGGGAAGAGGAAGAGACAGAGAAGAAGGGAGATAGAGAGAGAGAGAGAAAGAGAGAAAGAGAGAAAGAGAGAGAGAGACAGAGGCAGAGGCAGAGGCAGAGGCAGAGGCAGAGGCAGAGGCAGAGGCAGAGGCAGAGGCAGAGGCAGAGGCAGAGGCAGAGGCAGAGGCAGAGGCAGAGGCAGAGGCAGAGGCAGAGGCAGAGGCAGAGGAGAGAGAGGAGAGAGAGAGAGAGAGAGAGAGAGAGAGAGAGAGAGAGAGAGAGAGAGAGAGAGAGAGAGAGAGAGAGAGAGAGAGAGAGAGAGAGAGAGAGAGAGAGAGAGAGAGAGAGAGAGAGAGAGAGAGAGAGAGAGAGAGAGAGAGAGAGAGAGAGAGAGCGAGAACCCACCAGCCTCACACCACCTTCGGCGCACCCCTTCCTCACGCCCGCTCTTCCTCCCCCTCCCGCAGGGTTGGCAGCTGGTGCTCCTGCGGTACTTCAACCCCGTGGGCGCGCACCCCTCGGGCGACATCGGCGAGGACCCCCTGGGCATCCCCGTCAACCTCATGCCCTACATCGCCCAGGTCGCCGTCGGGAGGAGGGAGAGAATCAACGTGTTCGGGGGCGACTGGGACACGCCCGACCGCACCTGTGAGTTCCTCTCGTCAGGCTGGAGCCGCCCGCCCGTGCCTTTACCTGTGTTCCTATCTGTCTTTCTTCTATCTGTCTGTGTACTCATCTGCCTATCTATCTGTCTGTATTCACATATATGTGTGTGTGTGTGTGTGTATACACACACACACACACACAACACACACACACACACACACACACACACACACACACACACACACACACACACACACACACACACACACACACACACACACACACACACACACACACCACATATATATATATATATATATATATATATATATATATATATATATATATTATATATATACATACATACACACACACACACACAAACACACAAAATGTATATGTATATATACGTATATATATATATATATATATATATATATATATATATATATATATATATATATATATATATATATATATATATGCATAAATATATCAGGTTTCCCTCCCTCTCTGACTCCCCCCCCCCCACAGGCATCCGGGACTTCATGCACGTGATGGACCTGGCGGAGGGCCACACCGCCGCCCTCACCAAGTTCGGCGACCCGGCCTTCAGCGGCGCCAAGCCCTTCAACCTGGGCCGCGGGAAGGGCGTGTCCGTCCTCGAGATGATCGCCGCCTTCAGCAGGTCAGTGTGTGGGGGGGAGGGGGGAGGGGGGTCTGATGGGGAGGGAGGAAGAGGAAGGGTGGGGGGGGTGCAGGTTTTGGATCGGAAGGAAGGGAGGGGTTTGGGGAGGGGAGGGGTGATGCGGGAAAAGGGGGTTGGGGGGTTGGAGGGAACGGGGGGTGGAGGGTAGGGGTGATGCGGGAAAGGGGGGTTTGGAGGGGAAGGGGGGTGGAGGGGAAGGGATGATGCATGTAAGGGCGGGGGGGGAGGCTGGAGGAGAAGGAGTGAGCGTGAAGGTACACACACACACACACACACACACACACACACACCACACACACACACACACACACACACACACACACACACACACACACACACAACACATACACGCACACACACACACACACACACACACACACACACACACACACACACACACACACACACACACACACACACACACACACACACACACACACACACAACACACAAACACAAACATACACGCACACACACACACACACACACACACACACACACACACACACACACACACACACACACACACACACACACACCACACAACACACACACACACACACAACACACACATATACCCACCCCCCCCCCCCACGCACACACATAGATAGATAAATAGAAAGATGGAAAGATAGATGAACACACATGCAGTGCATCGATTTATGGCGCACGAAAGTATGTATTTATTGCAATTATTGAGTCAGTCAGCCGGTATTTACAGGAGCTTTGATTTGAGTTTTGGTTTAATTTCATTTCACGTCTGAGAGAGGGAGAGGAAAAGGTGAGAAAGAGGGAGAGGGGGAGGATGAGAGAGAGGGGGAGGATGAGAGAGAGGAGGGAGAGGAGAGGGGTAGGAAGAGGGTGAGGGAGAGGGGTAGGAAGAGGAGAGGAGAGGGAGAGGATAAGGTGAGAAAGAGGGAGAGGGGAGGATAGAGAGAGGGGGAGGATGAGAGAGAGGGAGAGGGAGAGGGCTAGGAAGAGGGAGAGGGAGAGGGGAAGGAGGAGGAGAGGGAGGAAGAGAGAGGGAGAGGATAGGGGGAGGAAGAGGATGGGAGATAGGGATAGAAGGAGGAGGAGGGAGAGGGAGAGGGGTAGGAGAGGAGAGGAGAGAGGAGGAGGAGTAGGAGAGGGAGAGGGTTAGGATGAGGGAGAGGAAGAAGACAGGGGGAGGAAGAGGGAGAAGGGAGGATGAAAGAGAGGAGAGGGGGATGAAGGGAGGAGAGGAAGAGGAGGAAGAGGATGGGAGAGGGAGAAGGAGGAGGAGGGAGAGGGAGAGGATGTGAGAGAGGGAGAGGGAGGGTGTTAAGTCTGTGCTTCTCTCCTTTTCACTTATTCCTCTCCTCTAATCTTTTCTCTCCTTCTCTCTCCCCTTCTCCATTTCATTCACTCTCCCTCCCTCCTACTCGCCTCCTCCTTATCCATGTTCTACTATCTCCTCTCTTCCTTCCACTCATTCTCTCTTCTCCCTTCTTACCCTTCCATCTGTTATTTTTCGTCCTTTTCACATTCTCCTTTATCATCGCTTCCTCTCTCGTCTACCTACTTTCTCTTTCCTTTCCTTCTCCCTCTTTCTGCCTCCGCCTTCCTCTTCTTCCCTTCTCCCATCTACGCAGTCTCTCCTACTCCCTCCTCTCGCCCTCTCCCCCTCTCCCGCTCTCCCATAGTTTGAAAACTCAACTCGTCTCCCCTCTCCCCCCCTCTCCCTAGGTTACATAATCTTTATCCCCCTCCTCTCCCCCACGAATTATACCCCTATTCTCCCAAGAAAATACCCCCCCGTGCTTCCCCAAACAACTTACCCCTTCCCTTTCCCCCCCCGCTCCCCAACAAACTAACCCCTTCCTCATGCCCCCCCTAACCCCGTCATCTCCCCTTTATCCCCCTCTGCTTTCCCCAAAAAACTAACCCCTCCCCCTCCCCCCCGCTTCCCCAACAACTCTCCCCCCCCCTAACCCCGTCATCCCCCTATCCCCCCCCGCTTCCCCACAAACTAACCCTCCCCCTCCTCTCCCCCTAACCCCGTCATCTACCCCTATCCCCCCCCGCTTCCCCCAACAACTAACCCCTCCCCCTCCTCTCCCCCCTAACCCGTCATCTCCCCCTATCCCCCCCGCTTCCCCAACTAACCCACTCCCCCCTCCCTCCTTCCCCTAACCCCGTCAATCTCCCCCCTATCCCCCCCCCCCCCCGCTCCCCAACAACTCCCCAACCCCTCCCCCTCCCCCATAACCCCGTCATCTCCCCCTATCCCCCCCCGCTCGGCCCAAACAAACTAACCCC